ATAATAATCATATACTTTTACAATGCTTGTTTAAGTTTTTCCAACAATATATTCTCTAGTCATATGAAAATCAAAGCAATAATTCTCCCAAGAAGGAACCTATTCAAAATAACTCCTAGATTATAATAATCATATACTTTTACAAGGTTGATTGAATTTTCATAACAATTAACTCTCTAGTCACATGAAAATCAAAGCAATAATTATTCCTCGAAGGAACCTATTCAAAATAATTTCTGAATTATAATAAGCATATACTTTTACGATGCTTGATTGAGTTTTCCCAACTTTTGTCCAGTCACATGACAACAACTCATGTGACTAGACACAACAACAACTGTCTAGTCACATGAAAATCAAAGTATTAATTCTCCCTCGAATTAACTTATTCAAAATGGTATCGCTTAAAAAAACTATTCATCAAATACTGAAATTAAATTTATAAGAATAGACTAATAAATAATTTTTAGGCTTGTAAATTCTCACATACAAGTTTATACCTCATACTGTTAAAACTTAACCTGTTCTCGATCTTCTTGACGTAAAATTAGCAATTATATTTATTGTAAACTATGAAACTCCGCTTATCAACCCCGTACTGTTGTGGCTTCTCATTTATCATTGCGTTTTTTTCTTAACAATAAATGTGAAAATTATAATTTCATCTAAGCACATTTTGTTAATATGTCAGTTATAATGAAATAAACAGATGCCTAGATTTAAAAAATAAACAACTGTACTTGAAAAAAAAAACATTTAAATTTAGAAATAAAGAATGTGCGATACAATACAAAGCACTAAATGAAAAGTAATTTTACTTGTTAACGAAATATAATGATAAACGATAGCCTTATATTACGTAACATTCAAATTGAAAACAGTTTTTACTTTCATTGAGTTATAAATTATAGATTCTATATTCGATACAAATTATAAGGTCCAACAACGTATCGAGTGTTAAAAACTGGCAAAATCTAATCACTTTTGCTTGAGTTATTTTTCACTTCAACTTAGAATTATTTTACAACCAGGGAAATACTTCATTTTTTAAATTCAGTAGCAGAGTTTGCTGGCGTTAAAAAATACCACTAGCAAAATCGAGGTTCATACAAGCATTTTTTAAACTGTTACCGCAATACATTATGTGATTTAGAGAATTCAATACAATCATTGCTGTGTGACTTATTGAAATAAAACGATCGCTGAATGGCAAATATTAAATATTTATACTTGTATAAAAAGTGAAATACTCAAATGCGCGATTATGAATGCATCGATTATGATGTCTTATTTAAAATAAGAAGAAATTGCTGGGCAGGAAGTAAGGCAACTAGCTGTAACAACTGCCAAGAAAGCGATTAGAAAATGATGTTGATTTTCAACGGGATTATCGCGACATGAGCTGGTCAAAAAATGATTAGTCAAATTTGCAATTCCTGTATCGTAATAACATAATATTAAAATTGTCGTTATAAAAAAAAACATGAAAAAAGATCGTAAAATAGTCGGAAATTGAAGAAGATAAACGATCTAATGGTCGCGACTAAAGCATGGCAAAAAGTGATTACTCAAATTCGAACTTGGAGTGCCACAGTATCTTGATATTAAAAATACCGATATTTGACGAAACATGTAGATATCGTCGAAAAAATGATTAATAAATATCTAAAAACAATGGGGATTTACGTTGGAATCGTCGTTAATCGAAAGCGTCACGAAGTGATAACTCTAATTTAAAATTCGCGTGTCATGATAACACCGTATTAAAAATATCAGGATTCAAAAAATCACATGAAAAGAGACGGATAAACGATCGAAAATCCAGATCACAAGAAAATAGTATCAATTTTTGCTACTGTTTTTTTTCTGTTACTGGCAATTGACTTTTTAACCAGCAATTTGCTACTTGCTAGTAGACGAAATCGCAACTAAGCTTTACATATAACTGTACATCATAAAGATGAAAGGATTAAATAATTTAAAGCTGTTTTCGACTCTTAACAAAATTTTATAATTTATTAATTACAAAATGTACTCCCTCACAAATTTATTAACACCAAAAATTGATAAAATATATTTACGACCGTTTTAAGCTAAGAAAATTTAAATATAGAGAGAGTTACAAACCATTTGTTTTATTTTGTGAGAAAGGTTTTTAAATTATTGTGATTAATTACAATCAATTATTAAAATACTATAATCATTAAAATTAATTACGCATAATTGAATTAATTACTCATAATTATAATTAATTACAATCAATTATAATTAATGACAATTAATTATGAATTATTACAATTATTTACAATTAATTATGAATTATTACAATTATTTACAATTAATTATAATTAATTATATTTAATTATAACTAATTACAGTTAATTAAAATTAATTATAATTAATTATGAATTATTACAATTAATTATTATAAATTGCAATTGCTTATAATTAATTATAATTATTATGAATTATTACAATTAGTTATTATTAATTGCAATTGATTATAATTAATAATAATTTATTATAATCAAATATAATTAATTATTATTAATTAGATTAATAACAATTATTTTGACAAAAACAAACATAAAAACAAAATTTATCAATTAAGAAAATTAAAAACAATACTTAACCGTTTTCAAATAGAACACGACTCCTTTACTTGAAATTTCATATCTTTCAATCAAGTGATTAGGATCTTCTTGCAACTGAGAATGAATGATAAAAAAAAATGAATCACAAAATCAGAGATTAAAAAAAAAACAGTTGTCGTCATAATTTATGTGGGGAGAAGGATACATTTAATAATTATCGAATTGGAAAAAAATCCTTAAAAAGAATGTTACATAATAACCAACCTTAAAATATAGATTAAAAACTTCTTGTCATGGATGATATCACAAAATTATCTATATTAGGAGTCATGAATTAGTATTAAGGTGAGGAAGAAACAAAAACACTAACGAAATTGAACAAATCCTGTTTGCCATTGAAAACTGAGAGATATTGAAAGGCAATTATTAGAAACACCTATACGTTTCATCAGATAATCAAACTGGATTTGATGTTTCCCTGAGAAAAAGAGTATGGTGAAAAGTACCAGAATGTGGTAAAATATATAGAGTTTCTAGCTCTATGGGAGCAACAAAAAGCACGGTACTCTTTACCAAAGTGCTTTGATAATGATTTTGATAAAATTAATAATAAAATACGGCTTAATAAAATCTGATAAAATTTAGTAAATGTGGTAAAATTTGGTAATTTTATCATGATACTTTACTACGAGGTATAAAAATCATTTATTCGGTTAAATTTACCTTTTATTTATTTATTTTTTCCTGCATAAGTGGTAACAAGAACTATTATTTTAAAACCATAATTTCTAGTAAGCCACACCATGTGGACGGAAAAACTACCAAATGAATAGCTCAAATACCGTATATTTTTGTTTTATTAACCAGAATTACGGAGGTTCTTTCCTTTTTTTTTACCAAAACTGTCATTATCACACAACACGGTAATTTTACCGGAATTTTGTTTCTCTGTGTCTGTTCTCGAGAAATTCGACAGATAGCGTTTTTGTTCCTACAAAGCATAGCTATTATTTTACAAACCTTGATGTGCATACATTTTTTATTTATTCTTTGACAAAGATTCTCAAAATGTATATTAAGAGCAGTGATTACGGAACACTCTGTTTATAAAATATGAAGTTTAAAAGCACCATAAACGTTTTTTTTTGTTCCTAAATGTGATACTTTTGTTGCTTCTAATAAGATGTAACGTCTTGTAACAATGATGCAACGAACTTCAACAATGTAAATAATCACTGCTTATTTGTACCGTTATCACCTTTTGTGCTATTTTTAGATAACTACCCATCTTTATTATACCAAAAAATTCGTTAAAAGACAATTTACCTCTATCAAATCATCTCTGTTTGGTTGAAATCCAGAAAATATTCCAACATCAACGATACTCATCCCAACTGGATTTGATCCTAAATATCTGAA